CAACGAGTTCAGGTGTCGGTAAGGTGAACGCAGCGTTAGCAACGAGTTCAGGTGTCGGTAAGGTGAACACAGCGTGTAGCCCGGATGGTCGCTCACCTGCTGGTCCCGCATGCTCTCACAGTTATAGAGGAAGGTCCCGAAGCGGCAGCTGTAGAGATGATCCAGGACGGTTAGCAGCAGCTGCTCGTTGAACTCGAAGGCTGTGGGAAACTGAGGGGAAACGCTTCAGTCACAGTGGAGCCATTTTCATTTTAAACATCCAAATTCTAAATTATCTACTTTGATTTTCCTCCGCTGTCAGTTAACAGAAAAACTCACTTTCTTTAATTCTATTTTATTCATTTTAGATTTAAAAAAAATATTACAGCACAGTTTGAAGGAAAAGGAGCAGAAAAAATTATTCTTCATTTTTACAAAACGATAAAATAATTTATTATAATTGAAAGCAGTAACTTCCTCTGACTTTAATATGGTTTAAATCTAAACGATCTGCAAACTGAAGTGTTTAACCGACCTGTCTGGTCATCTGCCAAACGCAGTCGATGAACTGAACGAAAATGGGCGATCTGTCCTGGTCGGCGTGGTTTTTGTCACCGTGGCCGATCCTCTAAAACAAAGAAAATGACATCATTCCTAACCAGACGGAACCTTCTGGCGTGAAGCGTCTCCATCAGCAGGATAATCTTACAGATGCAAATTTGTGACCGAAGCTGATCCACTCCTTCTCCACCAGGACCTGCAGAGAAAGCAAAGATCAGCTGATTGTCTGACGCTGGTTTCCGGCGCTCTGAGTGGCGAGGCGCACCTGGAAGCCCCTCAGGGTGCGGTAGTGGCTGTCCAGCATCAGCATGGCCAGCGAGGTGAGCTGAGCGGTCCGGTCCCAGCCGTCGCTGCAGTGCACCAGAACCGAGCTTCCACTGGACACCTTGTCGGCCACCTGGATGGCTCCTGACAGCACCAGCTGAACAGCACAGGGTTTTAACGCACGGAGCGGCGGCGTGCGGCGGAGGTCAACGCGCGGCTCTTACCTTAATGTGCTCCAGCCAGTGGGTGGACTCCAGGCTGGACAGCCAATGGGATTCCTCCACGTTGGGGTAGACGATGTCCTTCAGCTTCTTCAGCGACTCCCGCATCACATGAATGTTGTGGATGTCCAGAAAGACCAGCTCTGCGTTTAGGTACTCGTCCCCCTCATAGCCCCCCCCGGTGGCCTGGAGTTGGAAACACACCAGCAGGCGTAGAAATAAATACAGGCTTTATACAGGAATTAATGCTTTTTAATGCTCTTTTATAATATTAATAATAATAATTATTATAATAATTATAATGCCGTCATCAGGCTGCAGACATGTATCCTCGTTTTCCCGCCACTTTAGTTGAAATTGTCCTTTTTCCTCCATTCTGTAGCTTTTTCTGAACTTACGGCTTTGCCATCAACCGGAAGCAGTTCCACACAAATATATCGTGATATAAAATGTTTGACTAAATTGTTTTTATAAACTATTTTTTAAAAGAAAGCATTTTAAATGCCACAATAAACAGATTTAATGAATTTTAATGCCAATTAGGGCCTTAATTTAAAAAAATGATAATTTAATGAGATTTCCTGATTTTTAATGAAATAAATCCAGTTTTATTTCTGTAGCTCCAAGTCACATCGTGTCATCTCAGGTCATTTTCCAGTTCACCAGTTCTGGTCGGGTTTTCTGATTGGTTCTGGTCGGGTTAAAATGGTGGAATTCTCTTCAGACAAATTAAAGAACAATCAAGACGATTAATTTCATTTTTTCATCCGGAGGGAAAACGAGACAAATTCTAACAGCCGTCTATAAACCTGACCAGTCCAGCGCTAACCTGTCTAAGCTAGTTTCCCAGGAAAAGGCGGCGCCATCTGCAGCTGTGTTCATACCTTCCTGACCCGTTGTGTCTGTTTTGTCTTCTCCTCAGTCTGTGAGCCTGATACACAGCAGGGAATCTGTTTGAAATCTGAGTTACTTTAATCTAAGCTCATTTATCTTAATAGGAAAAAGATGCTATTAGCCAGGACTGCTCAGCTTATGCAGAGACTTCTGCTTCCCGTTGATTCTGTGTGATCGGGTTCAAACCTCCTCTCCGCTGTATTCTCTGCTCAGGGTTCCTGCAGCATCAGGAGAGTTAAATTCAAGACTTTTTAAGACTTTTTAATGCCACTTGAAATAAAAATTTAA